GACCGGTAATAATTAGTACAACCCTCTTGGAATCCACAGCTTGTCCTCACAAATTTGAACTCTGTTGAAAATATTTGTCGATTTCGTTAATGGAGATTATCTCTGCTCTATCTGTAAGGAAAAGGGACTGCTAAGCAGCTAGAAATGTAAACAGGAAAGAGCTTTAGCTTTCCCTTGGGCTAAAAAGTCAAGTTGTTATTTATTTTCTGTAAAGTACTTATAAATCTACTTTGATAAGTATGTGGTCAAAACCAATTGCCCTAAATGCAAATAATTTTTGGCCACGTGGAGTTTCAAATTTCTCTATGCTTTAAGTTCGAGATGCCCTTCTTTCTGTTGGGAGCATTACTCTATCAATGTTAAGACATGAAATTGCATGAAACATCCTTTTTTTCTCTGAAGTGAACCAAAGTTTTCTTCTCAGCTTGGGGAACTAGAAGACGTTTTCGCCATAACCAGTTGGCAACCTCACCATTGATGACTCAGCTGGCAGTATATGAAAAGCACAGCAGTAAGGGAAATATGGATCTCAAAGTCTACGCACTTTGTGCTGGCGGAGTGCAGACACACCCTCAGCTCTGAGCCTATGGAGAAGGGGCTTTCTGATTGAACTCCGTGGTTATCTGGTTTCCATTTAGGTTTTAGCAGACAGCAGTTCAAACAGGGAGGGGATTTGTAGTGGGCAGGGCTACCAGAAGTAGATTCTTCAAGAAGTGACAGCTGATTCAGAACCTGCAGAGACAGCAGAGTTAAGAGCAATAAAGCTCTTTAGAGCCATTAATGGAAAGCCCTAAAGACATCGTCACGTTATAGCCTAGTCAGTAAACAATATTCAAGATGGTAACACTGAGTCATCCGGAAAAAAAAAAAAAAAAAAAAAGACACATAAAAAAAGCTCAGGCAATATCCTAATTAGGATGGAATATATTTTAGAAAAAAATTCTGTCTTCAATGGTTTAAACATGCACAACTGGTATAATGAAAACAGTAGATTTTCATTTTGCTCATTCTCAGAATATGACAGTTTTCCTATAGACGAAAACTGTACTCTGGGCAGTTTTCTCTTTTCCCTTACTTCGCAAAGCGGCCGAGTTATTACACAGCTCCTCTCGTTTGGGGTGGCTTTTATTGCTAGGTTCCCAGCATTCTTCTCTGTGTTCTCATGTACTAATTTATATAATATTCACAATATGCTATGAGATGGGTATGATATTATCATCAGCTTTGAAATAAGGAAATGAGGTGCGGGGGTATTATTACCTGCTTCAAGTGACACAGCTGGCGAGGACAGAGTAAGTCCATTACGCTTCCTGGCTTCTTGTAAATGGCAGGCCCATAATGGAGGAGAGCTGTCCATCCCGTCTTCTCCTCTGAGTCTGAACTGTGCTTCCAATTACATTATTTTAGACCATCTACCCTCTTGTTTATTTTCCTCTGGATACTCTCCTGTGTCTCTCTACACTTGCGTTCCTCTGACATGAACTTGATGCTCTAAATTATTTTGCATCTAATACCTCTATTAACAAAGTCTAACATAGTGTGAGGTGAATTTTCCTTTTGTTTGGCAGCCAAATTGGAGTTACAGCTCGTCTTAAGTTTTTTATTCACCCAGCTTGTCTGGGCTGCTGTGGTAGCAATCTGACTGGTCTCCCTGCCCCCGCCCTTACCCCCTTGGTGTCTGCTCTCTTTTCGGCAATGAGACTGAATCACTTCTCTGCTGGAAGCCCTCCAGTGTCTTCCCACATTACTCAGAGTAAAAGCCAAAGTTCTACAATCATCTGTATAGCCCTCCTGCTGTGGCCCCCAGCTTCATCTCCATCTTCACCTCCTGCCACTTTCCTTAGGCACAAGGCTCCAGACACAAAGGCCTCAGATGTTCTTGAGACCTGCCTACACCCTTTGCACTCGCTGCTCCCTCTGCCTGGAACAGTCTTCCCCAGATATCCACATGGTTTTCATCCCTTCCTTCAGGTCTTTGCTCAGAGGTCACCCTCTCATCCCTACGCCGTCGCTCACCACTCTCCTTTCCTGCTTATTGTGAAGTCATAGCATTGATCATCGGCTGTTTGTTTCTTTCTTCTACCCCATCTCATATCAGATGATATCCACAAGAGCTCTTCCTGTCTTATTACTGTATAGCCAACAACTAGGATGGCACCTAGCATATAGTAGGCAGCCAATAAATAATTGTCGAATCAAGATTCTTGTTTTGGACGCGAAGTGTTATTAATCAGAGGACTGCTGCATCCTGTACCTGTGTGGTTGTTTCGGGGACATTTATTTTTTATTCTTATTTTTTGAGTTTCAGTTTTTTATTTAAATTATAGTTAGTTAATATATAGTGTAGTATTGGTTTCAGGAGTAGAATTTAGTGATTTATCGTTTACATATAACACCCAGTGCTCATCCCAACAAGTGCCAACCTTAATACCCATCACCCATTTAGCCTATCTGCCACCCACCTCCCCTCCAGCAACCCTCAGTTTGTTCTCTATAGTTAAGAGTCTGTTTTATGGTTTGCCTCTCTCTCTCTTCCCCCTCCCCATGTTCATCTGTTTCATAAATTCTGCATATGAGTGAAATCATATGATATTTGTCCTTCTCTGACTGACTTATGTCGCTTAGCATAATACACTCTAGCTCCATCCATGTTGTTGCAAATGGCAAGATTTCATTCTTTTTTGTGGTTGAATAACATTCCATTGTATATGTACCACATCTACTTTATCCATTCATCAATTGAAGAACATTGGGGCTCTCTCCGTAGTTTGGCTATTGTTGATAATGCTGATATAAACATCGGGGTGCATGTGCCCCTTCGAATCTGTATTTTTGTATCCTTTGGGTAAATACCTAGTAGTGCAACTGCTGGGTCGTAAGGTAGTTCTGTTTTTAACTTTTTGAGGAAGCTCCATAGTGTTTTCCAGGGTGGCTGTACCAGCTTGCCTTCCCACCAGCAGATGTTTCGGGGACGTTTAAATCTACTTGTATAACTTTACATTTTGTTAAATCCCTTACTGAAGTGGAAGATACACTGTATACTTTCTATTTGTTTTCTTACTATTGTAGTCTTTTATCAGAAAGGAAATGAGGCAGTTAGCATGTGACTCGTTCCTAGTAAATCCCTAGATATGTATTTAGGACCAGAGACCTATATATTTCCCAAATGCAAACCATATCCTAAAAAATTACATTTTACAGTTTTATCGGGTGTCAAGATCAAAGTCTTCCCTCTACCACTTATGAAATTCACCCTCCAACCCTTTTGAAAAAGTAGAACAGGTTTCCTACATCTCCAGTTTTCTAATTTTTTTTCTGGGTCTCTGTTCTTTCTCAAAGACAACCCATTCCTTTGAGCCAGTTGTGTTTCTGGGTCCCATCCCCTGGGTCTTTAGTGGAGTCCTTCCATTCTCAGCATGGGCTTGGACAGAACACTGTCAGAACAGCAGTATCCTCTCAGTGGAGAGTGACCAAAAATTCCAACGATCCAGTCTCTGCTTGCCATGATGAGCTAGTTCGACAGAATTATTGTGACAGTTCTTCTATTTCTGACTTTTCCAACTTTCTTGGCTTCCAGAATTTTCCTGCCTCACTGTTATCCCAGGCTCCTTGTCCCTCTATTTTTAGCTCTCAGATTTCATATCCTGCTTTCTCCATTTCAATTTGATCATGTTAGTCTTATTTTCTGCCTCAGTGAATTGAAACTGGACTACTTCCATTTTTTTTTTTTCCTAAACCCAAGAGCTTCATTCAGGAAGTGACCTGAGTAGAGTTTCGTTTCAGCTTTTATTAAAGTAACATTCCAACTCTTTGTTCAGAGCCTCACCTGCTGCTCGCCTTTCTCTTGACTGATTTTTCTCCTAATGCCTATGAGAAGCGGGTGGCTCCCGGCTTCCTCAAATGTGGGAAGTGCTGTACTTGACTGAAACTTGGAAAATTCACTGATTCCCCCCAACCCCGGCCCCCTGTCAGCTTTCTTCTAACATTCTTTATCATAATTGCTTAAATTTGTCAATTACTTTATTTCTTAGAAGGATTGCATATTTTGATTCACATTAAGGAGAGTAAGAATCCACCTCTTTTGGGGACACCTGGGTGGCTCAGTCGTTAAGCGTCTGCCTTTAGCTCAGGTCATGATCCTGGGGTCCTGGGATTGAGCCACACATCAGGCTCTCTGATCAGTGGGAAGCCTTCTCCCTCTCCCACTCCCCCTGCTTGTGTTCCCTCTCTCCCTGTGTCTCTGTCAAATAAATAAATAAAGTCTTTAAAAAAAAAAAAAGAATCCGCCTCTTTTTGGTGTGGCAAAAGCAAATCTGTCATCTTCACTGAAGGCACACGTCCTTCTGCTGCTATTTATTTATACCTCTGTTATTGCTCTTAGACTACTGACTATAACGGAAAGGTCTGTACTCTAGAATCACATGGCATTCCCGGCTCTACCACTTACTAGCTGAATGAGGTTTGGCAATTTATTTAAGTTCTCTAAGCCTCAATTTCATAATCTGTATAATAGCGATTAAAAAAAAAAAAAGATTTACCTCTAGGAGCACCTGGGTGGCACCATTGGTTAAGTGTCTGACTCTTGGTTTCGGCTCAGGTCGTGTCTCAGGGTAGTGAGATCCAGCCCCGCATTGGGCTCCACACTCAGCACAGAGTCTGCTGGAGATTCTCTCTCTCCCTCTCCCTCTGCTCCTCCTGCTTGTGCTCTCTCTCTGAAATAAATAAATAAATCTTTTTTTTTTTTAAAAATTTGCCTCTAGGTTTGTTGTAATGCTTAAATGAGATATTATAATGCAAAGCGCCTTGAGCAGTTACTTAGAATTATTTTTTCCTGTTCTATAATAACACTAATTTAACAACTGTGGAATAAGGGAAAGTCATGAAAACTTTTTTTTAAAAGCTTGGTTACTGCACCTGGACCTGGAAGACTTGTTTTTCTGGGTGAAGAAATATTTTCCCTGGGTGAAGGTTTCATAATCACAGTCAAGCTGGCCCATGAGCGCTACCATTTCAAGTGGCTCTGCTCTTTTATCTCTGATATACCTGCACCCTGGGAATGAGGACACTGATCCAGCTCCTGAGACTCTACAGGATAATCACCGAAGTCTCTTTGAATTCTGTGTTGCCATGATCCCATGGTTTTGGATACCCAGAGCGTAACATGGACACTCTTTGAATTTCACACCATGCAGAGTCATTTTTACTTCCCTGGGACCTCGACTGAGTTTAGAACAGGTAAGTGAGAGGGAAGGAGGCACACAGTGAAGTCGGCCATAGAACCAGTGTTCAACATGGTCATCTGAGAAGTAGAAAGCGAGCCTTTTTAAGTTTACCCAAGCCAGATCAGGTGAGTTAACCTGTGGAGTGGAGTGGAGGGTAGCCTTATACTTTTAAAAAATGGCAAGGGAAATTAAAATTTATCAGAAAAAAAATGAATTCCATCAAGACAAGGGCAAAGCCGTTTATTTAGGAGGGGAAAATATTATCCAAGTAGAGAGAGACTTTCTGTGAATATGAGCTTGAAATAAAAAGAAAGGAGAGATAACTGACTTTCAATGAAATCCTGTCTGGAAAACACGTAAGTACCACTAATACCCCCATGATCCCTAAATCTAGGCTTCTTTGGTCCCTATAAAATTATAACACCTTCAGTGTATCTTTAACAGCTTTTTAGGAACATATTAACTAAATGTGCAAGTTCTGATCTGGCCATAAAATACTAGGAGAGCTATGATTCTCTAGGATTAATGAATAACATTTGTTTATTTGATTTACTTTAAAAAATCATTCTAAAATCTGTTTATATATCTGTCCTCTCCAGGATGAACTTTATGGTGGTTCAGCAGACTGTTTACTGTTTCTTCTTCTACTACTTCTTCTTCTTCATCTTTTTTTTTTTTTTTCATCTTTCCTGCTCAGTGCCCAACCCAAGTTCAAAGGCTGATGAGAGAGGAAAAACTCATGAAGAGGTTTTACTCTAGGGAAAGTTGTTCAGTGGATGGGATCTTGGTGCATAGGGAAAGATGTTAGGCTCTTCCTGGCTCCTTCTCAGCCTTGCTGCTCTAACTGCTGCTCAATCCACCACTGAGAATCTGGTCAAGACATTTTTGGAGACGTTTAACTATGAAGCTGAAGAGCTGTCTTATCAAAGTTCACTTGCTTCTTGGAATGCTAACACCAATATTACCGACGAGAATATCCAAAAGATGGTGAGTTTTCACGGCTACCTAGGGGTATTTGTTGCTTCTTAAGGGTTAGATTACTGCCTGTACAACTGAAAAGGGAAATCAAAGAAATGCTCCGAGTTGTGAGATTGGATGTTTGCTTCAGTATTTCTGATTCTGGAGTCCCAGATGACTAAACTTAATTGACCTTGGGGCTCATTTGGAAGCTGTTACAAAATAATTCACTGGTCTCAGTCCAGATTCTTAGAAACCAGTGAACATGCTTTGTAAAGTTGCCACCATAATTCTCATCATAATCAGGGTTTCAAAGCATTTCACGGAAATGCCATAAGTTATTGAGTTAATAATTTTCCCAAGCCTACAATGTCAACAGGAATATCTAAAGACTCTCTGAAATGATACATTAACTGGAAAATGCAATTGGAGGCTTAGTGAAAAAGCTAGCTAGTAATTAAAGTAACCATGGGTCTGGAGACTGGATTTGGGTGTTCCTTCCTTCATTGTCATGGAGCTCTAAGGGACTTCCAAAGGTCACAGAATCCATCCAGAGCCCTCGCAGAAAAACCACAACTAAGCCAGTTTTGACAAATCTCAGAATGCTCTGGGAAAGCCAGATGCTTTGACGAGGGCAAGGATTTAGGAATTTCTTCTCTCACCGATCCCAAAGCTGTGTCCTTACACATTTGTGCTGGAAATTGAGCAACATTACTTAAGAAAAGATTTTGTGACACTTGTATAGCAATACATTCCTTCAAAAATGTAGTTCAGATATTTTTTCAAATGTTGAGTAGGTTGCGTGTTTAAATTACTGCCACTCATGGGACAGATCCAACCTGAGACCTACCACCTCATTTGAAATACCCCAAGAGAAGGTTTTCCATTTTTCTGATGCTCAAGGAAATCCTGGAGATTTTGACAGCCCGGTGTGGTCATAGGAGGTCATTTGTTTCTTGTCTCCTATTTTTTGGTCTTACCTTTCCTGATCTCTTTATTGTTGGTTTTTCCTCACTTTTTATTTGATCTCTGTTGGAGGTACCTAGAGTGTACCATGCATTTGTTTCCATTCTCAGCTGAATGGTCCCGTAGGTGCTGGTGAAGGTGTACCAGCTTCATGCCTCAGGACTCTGGAGCCAGACTGCCGAGGTCCGGATCCTGGCTCCAGCACTTTCCAGCTGGGTGAGCTTCAGCTGGTCAGTTAACCTCTCTGCACCTTCATTATCTCACCTGTGTAAAAGAGCATCCCGCTCCTGTCTGCCTTGGAGGGTGGCTGTGAAGCCCGAATTCATACCCAAAGCCCACAGAACGGTGCTCGATGCTTGTGAGCATGGGAGAACAGCACCGTCTTACTGCTCTGAGTGTGGGAGGGAGTTACAACTGCTGAAGAGACATGTAACAGTTCTGCTGAGTGCCCTTTGCTGAGAAGGCATGTTATCGAGCGAGACGGAGTGATGGTTGTTGATAGCATCTCTGGATCATTAGGTGTTATTACTTTTGGATTGCAGTGGTTGATGAGAGCCAAGGCCAGAGAGGAAAGGGCATAAATCACAAAGTGTGGCCAAGCTGCAGAAAGCATGGACCCTTTGAAGGAAAGTGAAAATATTAGAATGCAAAAAGGAAGCAGGGGGCCGCTGGCTACGTGCAGGGAGGGTAGTCCGGTGGTCAGGAGCCGCTGCTACTGCTTGGCGTAAGGGCAGGCAGCTGGGTAAAAGAGCATGAAGCTAATTTTGGCTAACTCCTTTGGTTTGGAGCAGTTTCGTGGGGTTTCAGACCTAGTTATAGGACCTGGGGGATAAGGTGAGGTTTTTTTCTTTGCTTTTACTATAGAGAGCTTTTAACGACCGCTTTACTGAGACATAATTTATGCACCATGAACTTCTCCAATTTAAAGTATACGATTCAATGCTTTTTAGTATATTTGCAGAATTGTACAGCCTTCACCACCATCTAATTTTAGAACATCTTCATCTCCAGAAAGAAACCACATGCCTGTCAGTTATCACTCTTCCTCCCAGCTCTTAGCCCTAAGCAACCACTAGTCTACTTTCTGTCTCCATAGGTTTGCCTACTTTGAACATTTCATATAAATGCAATCATACAGTACATGGTCTCTTGTGATTGGCTTCTTTCACTTTGCACATTGTAGCATGTAGCATTACTTCATTCCGTTTTGTTGCCAAATAGTATTCCGTCGTATGATTTTTCTTTATTTTTTATCATAAAAATTTTCAAACATGTATAAAAGAAGAGAGATGAGTATATTGAATTTCCTCATATCCATCGCCCAGTTTACAAATTATTAACACTTTGGCCAATCTTGTTTTAGTTTTCTACTCAACCCCACACTTACTGGAATATTTTGAAGGAAATCCAAAATATGATGTACTTTTATGTGTGTATTGCACCTTCTCGCTCTCAAAGTACTTTTAAAACAACCTTAATAACAGTACCATGCCAAAAACTTAACAATAACTTCTTCGTGTCGTCAAATATCTAGTCAGCATTCAAATGCACCCTATTTCTTTTTCAATTTCAGCTGTTTTGTTTGAATCAAGATCTAACTAGGTCCTCTCCTTCCAATTGTTTTGAATGATGTACTTTAGCTCTCTTTTAATCTACAGAGTCCCTCCCTCACTTTTTTGTTTTTGAAATTTATTTGCCAAAGAATTAAATTTTGGGTCCTGTAGAAACTCCCACTTTTTGGACTTGCTGATTGTGCCCCCTAAATATTGCTTAACATGCTCTTTTGTCCCCTGCATTTCCTGTAAATGTATAGATCTAGGGAAGAGGGCAGAGCACTTTTTCTGTAAAAGGCCAGACGGTGAATATTTCGGGCTTTGTGGGCTCTATGGCCTCTGTTCAACTCTGCCGTTGTAGGGCGAAGGCAGCCATAGACAATACATAAATGAGTTTGACTATGTTGTAATAAAACTTTATTTACAAAATCAGATGGTGGACAGAGCCCTGATCTAGAGATTTTATCAAACCCAGGTTTCACCCCTGAGTTATTTTATAGGTGTGGAAATAAATTGAATAAATAATAAACAGATACCTTCAAAGTACCTATATGCAGTATAATTTAAAAATGTTCTAAGACTGGGCCCTTTTGGGGATTGTGAGTTGTTTCCAGAGGAGACTGAGAACGAAATCATTCTTGTAATTTGGTATCAAAGTTTTACCAGAAATTTTGCTTGACAGTAAATCATCCTGGATTGGGTGAAGAAAGACAGGGATTTAGAGATAAGTGGTGGGTTGCATAGACGAGTCTGTGCCATAGACCAAACTCTTCTTTCCATAGCTCACTACTTCCCACTCGTGTGTTACAGAGAAGAACAGAATGTGTTGAATACCATCTATAGTCAATGGTTAGGAGCGTTAGCTTTGGAGGTAAACATATCTGGGTTGGCACTCTGGTTCTTTCAAATTACTAGCTGTGTGACCTAGGAAAGGCTACTTACCCTCTCTGTGCCTCAGTTCCCTCATTTGTGAAGTGGAGACAATCACAGCTACCTCACAAGATTGTGAAGATTAATTGAGAAGTAGTTCCTGAGGGCTTGTATGTGTTCAATAAAGAGAGAAATCATTTTCCATTTTTACTGCCACTATTTTCATCTCTTGTCTGATCCATTGTTGTCATGACCACACACCATTCCCATCATGTCATGTACCTGCTTGGAGCCCCTAAGTGATTCCCTAGAATTCAAAGAATAATAGTCAGATTCCTTGGCCTGGAAAGTGCAGTCCTGCCTGAAGCCCTGCCTTTGGGATTGGTACTAATTATCTATTGTGTTAAAAACTACCACAAGCTGGGACACCTGGGTGGCTCAGTTGGTTAGGCGTCTGCCTTCGGCTCAGGTCATGATCCCGGGGTCCTGGGATCGAGTCCCGCAGAGAGCCCGCTTCTCCCTCTGCCTCTGTCTCTCATGAATAAATAAATAAAATCTTAATAAAAAAAAAAACTACCACAAGCTTAACAGCTTAAAATAACACACATTTATTATCCCACAGCTTCGGTGGGTCAGGAGTCCAGGCACAGCTTAGCTGCATCTTCCATTTCTGAGTCTTCTAAAGTTGCAATCAAGGTCCTGGCTAGCACTGTGGTCTCAGCTGAGGCTTGACTGGGGATGAATCCACTTCCAAGCTAATGTGGTTAGTGGTAAGCATCCAGATCCTTGTGTGCTGCTGGACTGAGGTCCTTAGTTTCTTGCAGGATATCAACCAGAGGCCATCCTCAATTCCTCAACACGTGGCCCTTTCCAAAGGGTCATTCACAACATGGCATCTTGCTGCATCAAAGTCAGCAAGGGAGACAAAGTTTAAGCAAGATAAAAATAAGATTCTTTTATAACATAAATATGTACATCCTGTCACTGTTGGTATATGCCACTGGCTAGAAGTGAATCATGGCTCCTGCTCACACTCAAGGGGGAGGAGATCATACAAATGTGTACCACCCGGAGGTAAGGATCATGGGATCCATCTTAGAGTTTATCTACCACAGGATCCAGGATCCAGATGCTGTCAGTTGATTGCCATAACCACTTTTTCTCTCAGCCCCTTTATGCAGATATGAATAATGGAGACAGAATGATTTTCTATCTCATGGGAGTAGGAAGATCAAATGAAGTAAATTATTCTACAAAGTACTCTACATCCATCCAACTCCTACCTACTTTAGGGTCTTCTCCATGAGGGCTTGGCCAAATCTAGTTGCCTGCATGAGTCTTTCTTTTCCTATAGCAGAAACTGACCACTCAAAGTTTATACATTATCATATGCTCTTATATTTCATTAATGAAACATTCATGATGCATACCTTATCTGTCTGATAAAACTGTAAGCAACTTAAGGACAAAGAACTTTTTTCTATAAATTATAAAATAGCTAACTTTTTTGAATGTTTAGGATGTATCAGATACTGTGATAAACATTTTATTGTTTGTTAATTCTTCTCATCCTTACAACAACCCTTTGAGGTAAGTCCTATTATTACTCTCATTTTACAGATAAGGTAACTGACTCAGAGAAGGTAAGTAATTTGTCTAAAGTCACACAGCTAGTCAGAGGTGTCTGACTACAAGAATGGAGTTCTTTTTTGTTTTTAAGATTTTATTTATTTGTCAGAGAGAGTGCACAAGCAGGGGGAGTGGCAGGCAGAGGGAGAGGAAGATGCAGGCTCCCCGCTGAGCAAGGAGCCCCATGTGGGACTCTATCCCAGGACCCTGGGATCATGACTTGAGCCGAAGGCAGACACTTAACTGACTGAGCCACCCAGGCGTCCCAAGAATGGAGTTCTTACTTGTCTCATATGCTACCTCTTTTATATAGTCTAGAGAAGTACAGTGTACAAAGTAATAGCTCATTTTCATCTTTGATAAATGGAAATGAGTTTGTACATTGAGAAAAGACTGTACTAGAGGAGTCTGGAGATCCACTTGCCTATACTGATGTTCAAGATGGGGGGCAAGTGAGTTCTGGCATCATCCCCTGTTTGTTGGTTTCTTTTGCTGTTAGAAAATCACCATGGCTACCAAGTGGCCATATCCTGGGCAACCTTCTTTGGGGAACATAATTTAAGATCAGAATCTCTGGTAAGTCATGGCACTATGGAGCTCACTGCAAACTGTTTCTCATTTCTTATGGTTCCAATTGTCATGAGGGGCTGTATTCCCATTAAGTTTGCTCTGAGCTTTACTGGGCCCTCCCTTTAGAGCATTCATCCTCAAATCCTTGATTAACTCACCCACGTCATAGTGCTAAGGCCATAAATTCCAGGGCCCCACAATGTGAATTATCTGTGAGAATTCATTTCCAGTTCAGGGGATAGGACCCTTGGGAAAACTAGGCACTGGGCCAGAAAGAGAGAGTGACCAAGAATGGCCTGGTCACTCATAACCTAAGCCTTGACCTTCAGCAAAGTAGAGAACTAAACCACTCAGGAAATATTAGATATTCCATCAGATGTTTTTTGGACGGTATCTTCTGTTCTATCTGTTCAAGCAGTGCCATTCTGACTTCAACTTTATTTTTTGTCATTTCAGAATGATGCTGGGACCAAATGGTCTACCTTTTATGAAGAACAGTCCAAGCAAGCCAAAACTTACCCACTAGAAGAAATTCAGGATTCTACACTCAAGCGTCAATTGCAGACCCTTCAGCACAGTGGGTCATCAGTGCTCTCAGCAGACAAGAGCCAACGAGTATGTGAACATTCTAGCACTGACCCCAAGAGCTGAAATATTTGGGAAACATTAAACATTAATATCCCCATGGCTGCTTCCTTTATCTGCAAAGATGATAGTGATGCTGACATTAGAAAGAGCTCTGTGCCTAGGTAGGGTGACCACAGAATTTGTCATCCAAACTGGAATCCTTTTGCAAGTGAAAGAAGTCACTGGTAATAATTATGTTAGGACACAGAGTTAAACTGGTGTTGTCTGGGCACTGTGTTATATACGCATACCATATACAGAAGTCACCTTCCTGAGGACCAGGCAGCCTGAAGAATATGCTTAGTCTATGTCAGTCGTGATCAACCAGGGGTGATTTTGCCCCCCAGGGACATTTGATGATATCTGGAGACATTTTTGGTTGTCATAACTGGGGGAGGGGGGCAGCTATTAGCATCTAGTGGGTAGAGGCCAGGGATGGTGCTAAGCATTCTACAATGCACAAGACAGCCCCCAATGGCAAAAAATTATGTGGTGCAAAATGTTAATAGTGCCAAGCTTGAGCAGTCCCGTATGTGGTCCAATTCTTTCCCCCTTTCATTTTTGACTCTTCTCTGCAATGTCTTTAACAAGTGGCTAAGAACCTCAGCTCAGACTGCTTTAGAGGTGGGTGATTCATCTCTTTCCAAGACATCCATTCCATAGGTGGGCCCCCCTAATTGATGGAGATACTCCCTCCATTGAGCATTAAGTGCTTTACCTCCACTTTGTTCCGCCTCCTGGTCCAAATTGCTCTTTCCTACAATAGTTTTTAAATAAATGAAGGCAGCTATATATTTTTTAAACTAGTTGAGTCCTTTTATTTTAATCTAGGCTAACTATCCTTCACTCTGTTAATTTTCCTCTATACAGTGGTTTCAAGTTTCCTAACCAGTCCTGGCTGCTGTCTTCATTATGTCAGTAACCTTAAACTAAACACCGCACTCTGAGTTGGTTCCGGTCTGCATGAAGGTGCGCAGGAATATGACAGTCTGCTTCCTGTGCCCTACATCTATTAAGACAGTCTAGGACTATATTAGGTTTTTGTTTGTGTGGGTTGGGTTTTTTGACAGTCAAATTCCATGTTGGCTCATATCAACATCACTGTCAATGAAGTCTCCAAATCTCTTCCATCAATGTTGCTCTAAAATGATAGCTTTCAGGGGCCCCTGGGTGGCTCAGTCGTTAAGCGTCTGCCTTCAGCTCAGGTCATGATCTCGGGGTCCTGGGATCGAGCCCCGCATCAGGATCCCTGCTCCACGGGAAGCCTGCTTCTCCCTCTCCCACTCCCCCTGCTTGTGTTTCCTCTCTCGCTGTGTCTCTCTCTGTCAAATAAATAAATCTTAAAAAAAAAAAATGATAGCTTTCAAAATTCTATTCTTAACTAGGTTGTTTGTTCAAATTTAGGAAAGCCTGTATTCGCCCTGTTAAAATAACATCTCTCATCCCATCTCTCTAGCCTGGGAGCCAGCAAATGTTTTTCTGTAAAAGAAAAGATAGTAAATATCTTGGGTTTGGTGGACCATATAGTTTCTGTCACGATGAGTTAACTCTGCTGTTGCAGCAGGAAATCAGCATAGCTAATACATAAACAAATGAGTGTGGCTGTGTTCTGATAAAACTTTACAAAAACAGGCAGCAGACGGTATTTGGTCTGCAGATCATAGTTTACAGACCCCTGATCTAACCTATTAAAACATTTTTATCTAAAATATTTGACTATTTAACATCAAAGTCTTCTTTCTCAGTTGCTTGTCCTCTGGAACTCTGTTGTAATCCCCATCTATAAAAAGAAAAAATTAATGATAAGGACAAAGATAAAACCATATGGCATATATCTTCCTACAAGTTGATATTTATTATTCCACATTCTTTGGATCCAATTATCCAACTCCTTGTTAATCCACTTTATCTTATCCATTCCATGCTTCCCCATGTTTTTCACAAAGACACCATGTGAAACCTTGCCCATTGATCTTTTAGAGTCTAGACAGCTAGATGGAACCTGGACGCTGTATTTTTATAAGATCCCAGGTAATTCTAATGTGCAGCTAAAGTTGAAAACCGCTGAAATGCCTGTAAAAGCTTGGAGTGTTTGGGAAGAGAGGAGACTCAAGGATGCATGAGTTCAATGGAGAGGAAGGAGGAGAGATTGAAAAAGCAGGTAGACAAAGAGACCATGAGGAGTTTTGTGCCATGGTAAGGAATTTGGATTGATTCATTTGGACTATGGGATCTTGTTGAAGTGTTAAGCATGGGCTCTATTTCATGTTCTAGGATAATGACTCTTGTAGCAGAATGAAAGAATAATGGAAGAGGGAATAGGAGAAGGGAAACAGAGTCTTTCATCCAGTGCTTCTTAAATCAAATGTGGAAGAGAACCAGTTCCTCCCCTTCCCTTCCCTTCCTTTCCCTTCCCTTCCCTAGCCTACCCTTCCCTTCCCCCTCCCTCCCTCCTTTTCTCCCTCTCTTATTCCCTTTCTTCTTTTATTACCAATCCATTGCAGATCAATACTTGGTTTACTTCATTGCTCTCATGCCTAGATGTCGTGGGAATATCAAATGATTTTAAAAGTTTATAAACATTTATTCTCTTTAAAAAAAAACATTTATTCTCTTGATTCCTGTACTTATCACAGAATAGAAACAAACCATTTACTGTCTTGCACTGGTCCCCAGACCATACTTTGAGTAGCACTGCTTAACTCTACTACCTTTACTCTCCTTTACCTACAGGGTAAAGTTTAAACTTTTTAGTGTGGCACAGATGGCCCCTCACGACCTGGCTCCTGCTGACCTCTCCATCCTTACATCTCCCACTTCCCTCAGTCAGCATCACTATGCCAGTTTCCTTCAACGTGTCATCATTTCTGGAAAATGCCTGCTCTTTCCCAACCTCCATCCACCTTTTAGCTCCTGCCTTCTGTCTCCTTTTTCTACTTGGCTAATTTGTACCTCTCTTCCAAGACACAGCGCTAATGCCCCCTCCTCTCTGAAGCCATCCCCGAATCTCCAAGTTCTTCATTTATCCACTCCCCGCCAGACTGCCACATCACTTTTTCATGACAGTTATACCACTTGTCACTTGGTTATGTAATTATGATTTCATGGCCCCACTGTCCCATGACTTGAGGACCAGTGACTTGTTCATGTCAGAGTTATCGGAGTGTAGGACATAGTAGATGTTCAGTAAATGTGTACTCAGAGAATGCTGGACAAGACAACAAATGCCCGTCTCCGTGCATGTGTACCTGAGCAACGTCCCCAGAATTTTGGTAGATCTGTTTATTTCAGTCACTCCACATATATTTATTATGTGTATCTATCTAAGGTTCTGTGTTAGTTAATACGGGGGAATTTAACAGAGATATTCCTACCCTACATAAAGGAGGATACTTGGCAAAGATGGGAACTGCTGTATTTTGAGGGCATAAAAAAATCACATGGTCAAAAGGACATCTTTACCTTAGCATTCCATACAGCACATTTCCCAGTTTAAACATTGTTTGTTATGTTTAATTTGCAGTTGAACACAATCCTAAATGCAATGGGCACTATCTACAGTACAGGAAAAGCTTGTAACCCAAATAATCCACAGGAGTGCTTATTACTTGAGCCAGGTAGGTTATTAATTTTGAGAAATGATTGTGAAATTTAATTTAAGTTTTAAGGATTTTATTTATTTGTTTGTTTATTTGAGGGAAAGAGAGAGAGAGAGCATGTGCCTGTGCGTGGGGTTTTGGGGCAGCATTCCAAGGAATTTAATTAAGTTAGTAGCTAAATGATTTCAATGGTTTATTTTCTCTGCAGAAATATTTTGAAACTATACAAGGATGAAGAAATTGATAAATCGTGAGATTTCATTTAATAACCTTATGACCTTGATGTCTGCCAGTCTTACTTTTAATTATGTAAAGCTCATATAATTGTTTGCAAATAAAAATATTAGAAATGTATGTTGATTTCCTATTGGGTGCTTTGCAATGACAGGTTTGGATGACATAATGGCAAACAGCAGAGACTACAATGAGAGGCTCTGGGCCTGGGAAGGCTGGAGGTCTGAGGTTGGCAAGCAGCTGAGGCCATTATATGAAGAGTATGTGGCCCTGAAAAATGAGATGGCAAGAGCCAACAGTAAGTTTGCCGGTCTAAAGAGGTCCTGAAGCCCTCTATGGGGCTGTGGGCTATTTCTCATGAATTACCAAGGCTGCCCTTTGATAGAAGAAGTATCCCTAAATTAATGATCATCTGCTGAACAAATTCAGGTTATGTGTCTCAAAGAAGAAACTACTAGGGAATAGGGAATGGTGCACTGACATTCTACAGTTTAGAGAGCTCAGAAATGAGACTGAACTACAGGGCGTCAAACAAATCAGTTGTCTGGGGATGTATCAGGAACCTGAGGTAGCCTGGAGATTGAGTAGGGATTCTGGTTCTTAGACAGGATGGGAGACAGAGACACTGTCTCTCACCTAAACTCCTATCTGGCCACAGTTTATTCTCAAAGGCCATTTGTGTCTTTAACTCAAGATGGTGTCCCAGAAAGAAAATAAAATCAGATTAATTTAGGCTGGAAATCCATTCTGTTCTGCAGTTGTAATTATAACTCAGATCGTGTGGTCATAAAATTCTTAACATGGGGCAGAATTTCCATATCTCCTAACTTATTCTCCTGCCTGAATAATGAGCTGAAGCTATGGCATTATGAGTAACGTTATGCTTTGGTGATTCACTGCCCCCTGGGGTTGAGGAAGGAAGAAATTTTTTTTTTTTCATCTGTTGTTTCTAAATGTCTTTCACTGCCACTTAAACTGATATTCTCAAGCCACAGGCAAACTGGAGACAGTAGCTCATCACCATATCCTTCCATCCAAAGAGTTCGTTCTCTCTTCCTTCTGATCATCCATTGCCAGTGTGCATGTAAAAGTAAACATTATCAGAACAGATTTGCAAACGTTATCAGCTAACATCCTAATGCAAGCTTGTGTTTGCTGATGCACAGATACTGCATGAAGCGCAGAGAGATGTTCTGTGACGACATGGAATTTGCAAACAAACACAGGCCCCCTGTGGCAAGGTCTAAGATGAGTTAGATGTGAAAATATAAGGCCCTGAACAAAAGGAGAATTTAAAAACTCAAATCCAATCACATGGTAGAAAGCCAAAGCTACAAACTGAAGTCTGGAGAAGGTAGAGACTGAGGGTTAGGGGACTCGCAGTGTGCCTTTGCCCCTTACCAGTGGGGTAACCCTGGACAAATGATTTCACTGTCTAAGAACAGCCTGCTAATCTGCATGGTGGGGACTTTGATAATGTCAATCTTGTAGAGTTTTTGTGCTTATTAGATGAGATAATGCGTTAAAATTTCTGGCAGAGAGCAAGTGCTTGACAGACACTAGCTAGCATTATTATTCGTTTCATCCCTTTGAGGGATACTGCCCTATCACTTAGAAGGGCAGTAAAAATGTGACAGATCTTTGGATTTTTTAACCTCCCAGCAAGGTTATTCGATGTATACAGCGCCTCATCTCTTTCTTTCCCTTACGTTCTCTTACTTCTCCTTTTTAAAAACAGATTATGAGGACTATGGGGATTATTGGAGAGGAGATTATGAAGAGGAGTGGACAAATGGCTATAACTATAGCCGCGACCAGTTGATTAAAGATGTGGAACAGACCTTCACCCAGGTAACCAGGGGACTGATGTAGGGCAGTGCATGGGAGGAAGGGGCAATGACCAAAAGCATTCTGGCTTGTTCTTACCACACTCGTCAGCTATTCCCAGGCCTCAGAGTTATGGACTATTAGAGCTTGAAAAGATTTTAAAGAATAATAGGGCAACCGCTATGGATGATCAGAACTGCTCTGCTTTCCTCCCCTTTCCAGCCACTGAACTCACCAGCAATTACCAAGAGCAAGATTATAAGAAGGAAAGATTACAGGGAGGAATGGTCTTTTAGATTATAAGAAGGAATAGTTTTTGTGAACTACCCGGGACCCACACTGTCTTACTTTGTTAGCAGAGCTGTAGGTTTTGCTTCCTTCCTCAGGACAACTGATACTGTTGTTTCCTTACCTTAGACTAAGGAAGTCTTTATAAGGAAAGGAGAGTATCCCATGGACACTTCTCAGTGTCTCCCTGTTTCTTCATTTTGATTCCCACATCTCCCGCTTATCCCTGTGCCTTCAAACTTCTTCTTTTTTTTTTTTTTTTAAGATTTTATTTATTTATTTGACAGAGAGAGACACAGCGAGAGAAGGAACACAAGCAGGGGGAGTGGGA